ACCGTTATCGTGGCTCGTGCCGCCGGTACAGGCTGGCCATGGTGTAAAACGGGCCGGTGGTAGCCAGTTATAATATTGCTCATTCGAAGCATCTGCTTGTCTAGCGTTCTGGTAATTGTCATAACAAATTCAGTGAAAGTCTTGGATAAGCTCAACATTAGCACAGCTCACTTATTATATTTACACATAAGTTACCCCAACGCGGTCTCTGTGAAATAGATCAGTGTAGTCAGAAACTGTGCCAGCAGTCATTATTGACCCAACCGATAAAGGTGACTTTGGATGCAGTGATATGCGGGGATGCTGCTGGTCTTCACGTCCACTATGTTGTCACATATTACACATATGTTGCACACATCCATCCACTATGATATCCGTTGTTGTCGTGATGCGTTGCGTGTACTGTCGTGTTGCTGCCGATATGCAATCCTCGAAAAGTCCGTCAGGTGAGGGAAGTGACACATCCTTTGCGGTTTATTACTTATACTTTGTGGGCACGTGTAACAGTTTGAGCCGTTGGGTAAGGCGGAACCTTTCGCACCAAGGCGACGCGTTTCACGCAGTTCGTGGGATCGTTTTGTTGTGGTAAAATTGTTTGCTCCTGTAAAACCCCTTGATAAGAGGGCCTTGATAGCCAGCGCCACTTAGCGTTTTACGCACCCTTCGATGACCTCTAACGGCTACTCGGCTGGCCTGTAGCGATTTCTTTGTCGGCAAACACTTCTACCCGAAGCAGTTGTGTAGAAATGAAGAACAGGCGCTAACGTTACCGAAACCCCCGGTGACGTAGGCACCTGTAATTCGTCAATGGCGTGTGTGCGTGTAGTACGTTACTCTCTCCAGAGTGGGCCGGAGAAAGTTCCATGTACGCCGTCATGTGCTCAATACGCAGGGGTGCCGGTGTACCATCTGGTGGCCACAACCGCTGACACACGTGCATGCCATGCCGCGCAGGAGTTGTGAAACGCTGATCCACCTGCTGAAGGGTAATGTTGGCTCCGGCATCCTGGCGATGCCGGACGCCATCAAGAACTCTGGCCTGCTGGTGGGCATCATTGGCCTCCAGCTGATCGGCGCCATCGCCATCCACTGCATGCACATGCTGGTGAGTAACGCACGGCATTGATGCCACGGGCGACCAAACGCTTCAGTCGGCTCCATTTTTCCCTGCGTTGGTGTTATTTCGCGTTGTTATTCTATGATTTCTTGTTTTGACACCAATGCTTTGCTCGATGGAAAGAATAAACTTCCCCTTGAGCATCTAGTAACGCGATATGCGAAGGATTGTAATTTCTCATGCTGAACATAACCCATCTTCAGTGCCGGGGGTATTGGTTAGACAAAAGATATCAAGGAATCATCAAGATATATGGTATAACATGACATATTCCAAGAATAAATTATATTTGCGTTTGACCAGTATTTGCTGATACATTGGAGGCCCATTGTTTTTAACATAATACTAATACTGCCAAAAGACTAGGAGCGTGAAGGAATATGCTGTCTCTTTGAGACCCCATTGTATAATCCTCTGTCGTAAATTCAGTGGATTCGTCATGATTTGTGATAATAATGGAATGCTCACCAAATCAATATTTAGAAGAAAGCATCGCTTTTACTGGTTGTGGAACTTCGAAAGAGTGGACTCGCCTTTATTATTTGGAAGCGCTCCGCTTTGAAGTGACATGTAATAAGGCGTGGCTGGGACAATTACGTGTGAGCCGCGGTTGATACTAAATGTTATGTCTGCTCAGGCTGGAGGTAACAAAGGCCCTGAAAGCGTCAGTTGGCTGGGTAACGACCGAGGCTTTTAAGAGTAAATAAAATGAGTAAGTGACTTTAAGGGTGAATGACGGCTCGAAGGGCAGAGACACGGTCGTAGACAAGGTGAGGGCCCTCGTTTTGGGATGCAGTTTACGTAGTACATGAAACTTGATTTTTTTCAGGTAGCGTGTGATCTAAAGATATACTGATTTAAACATGAGACGCCAGTAATAGCCTTCTTCTTCGTAATAAAAGCAGGAGAATGGAGAGATCGATGCGGTAATATTTCGGCAACATGCCTTTATCGAAGCGATTACCAGCGGTGATAATCGTTTTGGAAAAAACATGTTGTTGAGATATCAGCGCATCTTTACCTCCATTCCCCTGGTTTTCTATAAGGAATGAGGCCATGACTTCCGACTCATCTACATGCGTAATGGTCCTCGCAGATGCACTTACAACTTATGGGATTTACTTATTAACGCAAATAATTTTTCTCTGTGGAAATATGCATCCAAAATATTTCTCTGGTAATGGCAACTGTTGCTCTACAAACTTTTCACTTCCTGCTTCAAAGTGCGAGACCCTTGAATATCCCCAGGCGTTACCTAACACTTCCATTGAACGTTCTAACCTCCAGCACCCGGTTGGCAAGTTATTCCAATGCTACCACAAAGTGTGTCCTGTTTGTGCCCTGTTTTGCGTGTATCTGTTTGTGCCCCGAAGAATAGTTACCTGCCCTTTTTGATTTGCTATAATTAATCGCTGATCTCATTCAAACTCCCACGTCACCATTGCAAATGACAACAAAAGCGTTACTTAGCGGTGGTTGGTTAAATATTCAGGGTTATTGGCTGGAAGAAAACCAAACTTCTGGCGAAACGTGTGATCAATAGGTCCTAAATGAAACGAACTTTGCAGGATGGATTGGACACGACTGATTTTATACATCAGTATTTACTTTTCAAGGTGGTAGACTTCCTCAGAGTCTTGTGTGGCTGAGATGTCATGTACAAATACAACTAGGCGTGATGCCATTTGTCGTAGCCTTGTTTTGCTTTCGTTTCCTGTCGTTGAAACGCGATTGGCATGTGTTGGGAGACTTCGATGCACCTGAAGAATGGCCATACTTTTACTACTAAGGTCCTGACCGAGATGTTCAAAAGCTTTGGATTTCCACCTGTTTTCAACCGTACCTTTCCATGGGATTTAACGGCTAATTGCCCAAGATGGCACATCAAAAGTGTCTTTGCGAGCGTGGACGTGTTTTCTGTAGTTATGTTTGGGTCGTAGCAATGAGTCATCACTTGCTGTCATTATCAGTTAACACAGTTTCAGTGGTTGCAGTGGTCTGGTGTTTGGCTCGGTCCGCTCGGCTTCATCTCGGTTCTGATAGCAGTGGTCGAGTCAGCAACACGGGAATCCTCAAAACCACATCCCCTCAGAGTCTGCCCGTGATTTCCAATGTGAGCGAGTGACTTGGTGCAAACACACTGTGAACATGCTCGGTTTCCTAGCAACCTACTCGCCATGAGTGGTGATAACTGTTTTATGCGTAGTTTTTGTGGTGTTCCCCAGAGTTGTTTTGTGATGTACAAAAAGCTAATGAAAACTGGCGTGACAGTTTTTACCACTTACAGTTCGCCTCGCGCGGCGGGATGTCCTCGCTGCCAAATAAGCTTGTTCTCGCTCGCGGCATCACGATAGCGCTGCTGGTGAGGTGGCAAGACGGAAGCAGAGGGTTCGGGGGGGGGGGGGGGGGCGGCGACCAGCGCGTGTCAGAGACGACGATAGCACAGGGAATGGCCGACTTGACCTGACCCAGTCCTGAGTCCTGACCAACCGCCGGCAGACCAGCGCGTGCCGGAGGGGCGCCGCGCGCTCATCTGTCACGCGGTGTAAACACTAACGAGTGACAGGAGCCGGCTGAAACCAGCCCGAGCTGCCGGCCGGCCAGGGGCCGATGTCTGGCGAACCGCCGGCCGACCTGACCAGGCGGGACTGACGTAGGCCGTTTACGGGCGGACAGTGCGTCAGCTCCGGCCGGCGCGACCCCACCTTGTTGGCTCCGGCCTCCTGATCCAGTTAACTTCTGCCCCTGGTCTAGGTGGTTCCTGACTCCTGATCCAACCCATCTGCTTCCTGGCCGAGTTAATTCCTGCTTCCTGGTCTAGCTAATCTAATCTCTGCGCCTGTCCGAGCTGATCCTGTTCCCTAGTTCAGCTGATCCGGTCCCCGTTCCATCTGATCCGGTTCCCCAGTCCAACTGTTCTGGTTCCCCGGTCCAGATGATACAGTCCCTTCCTCCAACTGATCCGGTCCGCCAGTCCAACCGTTACGGTTTTCCAGTCCAGCTGATCCGGACCCCAAGTCCAACCGATCCGGTCATCTGTCCAGTTGATCCGGTTCCCCAGTCCAGCTAATCCAGTCCTCCAGTCCAACTGGTCTGGTTCCCCAGTCCAGTTAATTCGGTCCCCCGTCCAACTGATCCGGTCCCTCAATCCCGTTGGTTCGATCCTCTAGTCCAGTTGATCCGGTCTCCAGTCCAGCTAATCTGGTCCCCCGTCTAGCTAATCTGGTCCCCCGGGCCAACTGACCCTGCTTCCAAGTCCAGCTGATCTGGTCCCCCCGGTCCAGTTGATCCGGTTCCTCAGGTCCAGCTGATCTGGTTCCTCGGTCCAGTTGATCCGGTTCCTCAGTCCAGCTGATCCGGTCCCCCAGCCCAGCTGATCCGGTGCCCCAGTTCAATTGATCCGGTCCCCCAGTCCAGTTGATCCGTGCCCCGGGAGCATGCTGACCTGTGCCCCCCCCCCCCCCCCCACTCCCAGGCTCAGCTGATCTCTGCCCCGTTGCAGCTGATGTTTCACTCCCAGCTGATATATTTGTTGTATACGTCATATGCGTCATACGATATACGTCATAATGCCATACTGCCGGCCACAGCGGCAATCTGACGTTTATTGAATGAAACTATGGTGAAAACTTAACGACAGAAGCACTCACCACGCATGCGCACAGAGCACACGCACATCGATTCGACAAACGAAGTGGGCGGGGTCAGTGATGGATTAGATGACGCGTCGGAGACCGTTTCAAGAGCTGCGTGAACAGACCAGATCGTGCCGTTGGTGGAACGCTGCACACCATATACGGGCTTGTGTTTTGCTCCGTTCTTTTCGGTCTTTTGCCGACTTCGAAGTCAGGAATGTGGGAATGCTAAGCATATTATCGCAGTATAGGCTCCCAGGCCACCGGCGTCGATCCAGGATTCTTGTGTAGAGCCCGCTCACGTGGATTCTGTTGTGCCTGAGCCACGTACTTTGAGCAGGGTATAAGTGTGTGTTGCTGTATCAGGTATGATCGTCAGAGACCCGAGGACATAACGTAGGTTAGATGTCAAAATTTGCCTTTCCATAATTTTCAGGCCATACTTTGCAACGTGGATGATCTCGTTTTCGAAACCCCTTCGTGTCAGCCAGTGCCGTGCGCTAAACGTAGCATTAACGCGTGATGATAAGGAGCCGAGACAGTGGAACGATGGCGTGCACTGCCTACCGAAGATAGCTCGAACGCTAGCATGAGTCAACGACAGACACGGGTCGAAGATGTCATGTTTCAGAGTGATGAGATCAGCTCTGCCTTTACGTTCAGGCACACCAGCCACGGCTGCGTCGGGACTGCGTTGCTGCACTCGTCAGTGTTGTCACAGCTGTGGCTGGTCAGGCCGCTGTCGAGTGGTGCCGCGGGGTCGGTACCCGATACGGATCGTTTTGGTGGTGGGACTAGGACCTGGATGACCTCCTTCCCGTGCTGCGGTGGTGATGCCGATGCGCCGGGCGCGCTGGGCCGAAACCTTGGCTGGCTTCTCGGCGCGTGTGTCACGTGACCTTGCCGGCCAGGAGTGGGGTGTGCGTGTGGGACTCAGCTGGTG